TTTATTTTAAGAGGAGGCCTACAGTTTTATGTATAATACTGTATGAAGAACCCAACTAGGACCTTTGAGTGTAAATGCATATAGAAATAGTCTATTGTCTGGGAATGTATTCTTGTTTTGTAATGGCAGGGAAAAATGATCACTATCCATTTTTAAAAATTCAGAAGTATTCATTAGCATTCAGGTAAGCCCTTGTCGTACTACAGGAAGATAGGTGTTGATTAGATGTAAGGATTTAGGTAACCCACAGAACTCATTTTACATAGATTTTATTTTTGTTGTTCCTCAAATAGGATCAATACGGAAATTATGTAATCCAGCACGTATTGGAGCATGGTCGTCCTGAGGATAAAAGTAAAATTGTAGCAGAAATCCGAGGCAATGTACTTGTATTGAGTCAGCACAAATTTGCAAGGTATGTGCTTTGAATTATACAAATTCTCCTCTGTTTTCCAGAAAATTTTTCTCTTTTCTTCAAATGTTCATTTTTTCAATGTATACCTAACTTAAAAAGTCAAATAGTTCTACAAAATATGCTACAAAGTAAAAGACATAAAGGGTCCCTTAATGGGACCAGAATCAGCCCCTTTGAAATCTGGTGAATATGTTTCTAAAGAATATAGATTTTGTACATTGGTAAACTAGACATCTCATTAACATATATGCTTGAAATTGTGAAATGTCCTTTACTCATTTCCTCTTTGAATTAAGAGGCAGTGTACCATACCTCTGTACAGGCCTTAATGTTCTTAGAATTTCTTCCAGTCTTTGTGTTGTGTCCCACTCAAATATCAAATGCACTAGTTCTTCCCAGCTTGTGAAGGATGTTTTAGGTAACTTTTAAGTAGCAGTGGCTGGAAAAGAAATTGCTGGCCCTTCCAAAGGGTTAGTGGTGTGGTCTTCTAAGTGGATTCTGTGTATTCTCCTCTGCTGTACACATAACATAGTACTTTGTATTTTGGGAATTTTTTCTTCTCTGGTTTTTAGAATAGATTGCAAGCAGCTGTGGCTCTACAACCTTGATGTTTTTAAATTGTTCATTTTTAATTTGTAAAATCTTACAATATTGTAGCATGGATAATGGGGAAAAGAGATAAAATCACCCATAGATCCAGTCTCACAATAGCCTTACCTGATCAGGGTCATCACTGAGACCTCATATGGCCTCTTCTGGACATTGGCAAGGACCAGGGAAAGAGGGGTCAGGATCCCTTAGATCTTTCCCTTGGGTCACTGTGCTGTTTACTTTTTGTTTAGTGTGTTTAATATGTCACCCTTGGATGTAGTTAATATTATAATAAATTTGTGGTCTGGTAGTGACCGAGTGGCTACTGTGAGCCCAACCCTCGCACAGATAACAGCTATAAGTTGTGAACAAAATGTCAGAGAACTACCTGAGTTAAAAGAGCAGGTGGATACTAGAAGGGTGTGGACTGTTGATACTTGGAAGAAGGTAATTTGCACTGGGTAAACTTCTCTGTTTTTCTAAAATTGAAATATAATCGATAACATGTTTGAAGTGTACAATATATTTATAAATGTATAAGTATATTTATGTATTGCAATATAACTTACAATAGCATTAGCTAACACTTCTACTGTGTCACATAGTTACATTTCTTTTTTGTGTTGGGAACACCATTAAGATCTAGTCTTTCAGCAATTTTGAAATTTATGATACATTATTGTCGACTACAGTCAGGAAGTTACCCATTTTTAATGTCTTCAACCTGTAGGCACTTCACAGTCTGCTCTATGCTGGGTTCCTAAAATTGGGATAGAATACTCTCCAGTGTTCCCAGAAGGCAGAGTTTGGGGTGGACCTGACATTGAGAGTGGCAGAGTGACAAAGGAGACATCCTGGAAGGAAAGAGAACTAGGGAAGGAGAGGCCCAAATTTAAACTTTGCAAATACCTAGTTGACTCCTGAACCACATTTCCGTGGGATAAACTCGAGGCAGCCCAACTAGAGCTAAAAAGAATTCTGATGTTTCAGCTGCTTGCCTACTGCACAGGAGTTTACAATTTGAGTTCAGCCAAGTTAACTGCAGTAAAATAAGGGGGTGGGACGTACTCTTTGGATGAACATAGTAGTACCCAGTTTCTACAGTGTATCATTCACTATGTCTAGATAACAGGAGAATGTGACCTATACTCAAGAAAATAAAAGAGATATAACAAAAACCACATGTTTGAGGCCACCCAGATGTTGGTGTTAGCAGCCATTTTAATTATATTGAGAGATACAAAGGAAAATATGCTTGTAATTAATAAAAGCATAAATGTTAGTAGGATATGGAAACCTTATTATAAAAAGAACAAAATGGAAATTCTAGAATAGACAAAAATGTATCATCTGAAATAGAGTTCACTGTATGACCTTAACAGCAGATTAGAGATAACAGAAGGCAGGATATTAGAAAATATCTTAATAGAAATAAACCAGTAAAATAGATTAATGACTTTGTGACATTTTTGATGGTGACCCAGAATACAGAGTAAAATTTTCATCAACTTTGCAAGCACAATGTGTGCAGGTGGCTGGAACTGTATTGCCCACGATTAATTCTGATACTATTCTGTTTCATCAAAAAAATTAAAAAGGGCACAAACCACTAAGTTGATCTCATGACTTACAAATGGGTTGGAAACTACAGTTTTGGAAGGACCAGGACAAACTTCAAAGACTGAAACAATACTTGATTGTGTGTGGAGTGGTATCCCATGATAGGGCTGATGCATCTGGCTTTCTTGGAAGACAGGTCAGTGCTGAGGATTGAGTCCTCCACCTAGAAGTGGTGTCCCCAACCCAGTTTAGTACAAAGCCCTGTTCTAATTCTGACCCCATTGTAGGAGAAGTGGGCCTGGAGTGGATAAAGGTATAACTCAGCCAACTAGTCCTGAAAAGCAATGAGTTCTTTGCCTGAACATTTTGAGACAGCGACTGGTTTTGTGTTCTCTGAACCAGCTCAGTAATATCTTAACTCCTTTTTCTGCTAAGGAAGAAGTCAGTGGCTATTAGGCTATTATCACTTCCACAGTACTACACCTTCAGCTCAGGCTAGAATTGCATAGTACTGTGGAAGGAGGGTAGGGGGATAAGTTTCTCCATTGCTCTATCAGAGGGGAGAGACTATTGTTTTAATATTAGAGTTGATACGTTAGCTCACCAGATTTGATATACACTGTATATTTTAAGAAGAAATATTGAAGAAATGTTTGGTAGGATGGTAGCTGTTAAACATTTTAAGTTGAGAATCCCATTTTCTAAATAAAAGCATATGAAGCTCAATGTACAAAGCCAGGTAACATGAGAGGGTCCTTTCAGAACCCTACAGAGCAACACACTCTTAAGGTTTAAAAACCTCTCGGACAGAGAGTTACTGTGGTGACTAGCTAAATATCCAGAAGGCTCGCCTTTGGCAGAAGGAGTAAGAACATTGCCCCTGCCTTCAGGTACCCCTGGAGTTAGGTATACCTGTCCTTTTTTAGCCCCTGAAGGCAAAATTAGGAAGGAAGAATGTTTAACAGAGCCATTCACCCATATGGTGGGTTGCCCTAAAAAGTAATTACTTCCAGATTATTGGAAATTCCCAAGCAGATGCTAATGGCCATCTTCCAGAACTGTCACAAAAGAGCTTTCTGCACTAGCTAGGTCTGGGCTCTTCTGTATTCCTTTTCTACTTGGAGTGTGTGTGATCCAGAGCAGCTCTTCCTCCAGTCATGAACTCTTTGCAAAGCCCTCAACTGCCTGCCCACCCACCTACCAAATATTGTCTTTGCCAGGTATTGGCTCCAGCAATACAAATAGAAATAATATGTCTTATTCTTTGACATCACACAGTTGTCTCCTACCACAGAACCCCAGATGCAAAGTGGTGTTGACTTATAAAAATCAAACATTAATAAGTAATCAGCCACTCCTGGATGATAACTATCCATTAGTATGGCTGTGTGCAGTTTGATCAGCCTCTGCAGTCCTTCTGGATTGTAGAAAAATTCTGATTGATACAACCACGTTCCTTTTTTCCTTTTGCAGGATGATGTATTTCTGAACTATTTAGAAATGCAGGCAGACCTGTAGGGTTCTTGTTCTTAGGTTCCAAAGCAGCAGCATGAAGTAATTGAAAGAGTGCTGTGGTCCCTACTTGTGTATTCCTTCACTCACTCAGTCCATAGAGCCTCTCTTAAGTACCAAGCTCTACAGGAATATAAATACTAAGTAATACTTGTTCTGGCTTCAGTAGGCTCAGAGAGGTGAGGAAGAATTGATAGATTCTGGTACATATTGAAATTATGCTCATGAACCAGTTCAGCTGTTAACTAGTTTTGTGAACCTTGTGTTTAGGTCCCTTCACTTTACCTGGGCTTTTTACCCTCACCTGTTGGGGTGGTGGGGGGGTGTCTTCTATCCTCTATGACCTGGTCTCAGCCATGGTTCCCATAGGAAGCCACAGATGGCAAAGGTGGAGAGTCTTGTAGAGCCAACTGGTTGATGAGTTAATTACCCGAAAATGTTGGGCTCTCTTTTGCAGCAGAGGCCAGATAAGTACAGCCTAACAGCATCCCTTTTCTAAGAGTTTCTCCTGGGCTTGTCTCATTTCAGCAATGTTGTGGAGAAGTGTGTCACTCACGCGTCCCGTACGGAGCGTGCCGTGCTTATTGATGAGGTATGCACCATGAACGACGGTCCCCACAGTGCCTTATACACCATGATGAAGGACCAGTACGCCAACTACGTGGTCCAAAAGATGATTGATGTCGCAGAGCCAGCCCAGCGCAAGATTGTCATGCATAAGGTAGGCCGGGTCCGACGGAAATCAGTCAGAGAGAATGTGTGCCGGGCCTCGGGGTCTTCATGTTTGTGACGTGCCAAGGAGGGTGAATAGTTTGCTGCTTTGGTGGACTTTGTCACAGGACTACATCTCCTGCTGTGCCTCTTGTTCCTTTTATCTGGAGTGGCCATTGTTTCTGTTTGCCACCTCACCTTTATCACTAATTCATTGGTGTGAAAGAGTGTTAAACTCAGTTGTTGTGAGGGATTGTCCTGCCTGACCTTCAGGCCATGTGTCTACCCCTGTGCCCCCAGGAGATCAGCTTTTCAGTGCAGTGCCCGGCCTGGCCCACGAACCTGATGCCCACTGTGTGTCAGACGCCAGCACAGAGGTGACTGAAGCTGATGACTGCTCCAGGCCACAGTGGGAAAGGGCGATGGAAGGCAGTGGAGAGCGTGTGAGAGCAGGTTCCCCGAGTCTGAGGGCAGGCTTTGCAGGAGAGAAGACCAGGCCTAAGGAGGAGGTAGACAGGAGAAAAGCGACAGAAATCTGACCTGTTAGGTGCTGTGAGTGGGAGCTGACAGAACACACCTGAGGGAGGCCACAGCTTCCAGAACAGTCATGGAGCAGGTCGAGCCAGCCCCACACAGACCACGGGGCCCAGGAAGCAAAACGAGCCCACAGCAGGTGCGCTGCCCCTGTGTTTGTGCCAGACAGGGCCGTGAGCCTCGGGGTGCTTCTGATTTGAACCCTCAGCCGTTGGGCTTTGAACTCAATAAAGAGGTTGGTCATGGTCTGGCAGTGATGAACTGCTTGCCCTCACTGAGAACAAAGTTCGGTAATGAGAATCTTTGTTATGGACTCAAGTTCTGAGCCAGACGAGGCACTCACCACCTCCACAAAAAAAAACACAACAAAACACCGTGCTGGTGTTGGCACGGAAGTGGCATGGCAGTGGAAGGCTGGGGGAGTCCAGAGTCCTGAAAGGTGTGAGACTCACAGGTGGTGCTGCTGGAGGCAGAGGGACTGTTGGAGAAATATAGAAGTTTATGGCATGTCCATTCATGCAACAAAAACCTGCACGTGTACTCAATAGCAAGCCCTCCTTTCAGAGCAGCTACTGTATCATAGTCACAAGTGATCTGGGGATAGTTTGGAGAGGGCTGTGTGAGATTGTGCCACATTTGAGAGTGACATTTGAATAAAGCCTTGATCCTTTCCAGGCAGAGGAACCTGCCTGTGTGAAGGCTTGGGTGCAGGAGACAACATGGTGTGTTTGAAGAAGTAAAATACATTCAGGAGGGCAGGACTGTGTGCCAGAATCACATTTACATGTCAGACGGTTGTCCTGGCTGATGAGCATCTTGGAGGAGGGGAGGCAGCGAGGAGACTGGGTGGAAGGCTGTTCAGCCAAGAGATGGTGGTGGCTTTGGGATTGAGAAGTGGATTTACGTGGGGCTTAGCAGTTGATTGAGGTTGCTGAGAGGAAAAGCCCCAAAGAATCTAAAAAATATCTAAGATTTTTTCAGCTTTCACTGGTAGGCAGTGCCCTTTTCAGTAAGAGGGAACAGTGGAGCAGGTTGCTTTTCACCTCCCATTAAACCCAGTGAAGAATGGAGTTCAGTAATATTATACATGCACGTGCATGTGGGTTGTTAGTTCTGCCTGGGAAAGGAGGTGTATAAAGGTTAAGTGGATGAACTATCAGTCAACCAATCCCAGGGATATAGAGGTGAAAAAAATTGAATCTTCACTTAGTTTCTAAAAGGAAAGCTGCCAAAAAGCACGAGGGGTGGGTTTAGGCAAATTGGGTCACACAGCTTAGAATTCGAGCCAAGTATCATTAACAGTTTCCCACATAGGCTCTTAAGTGAGAATGGAGTAGCTAGCATGGGTCTGTATCCTATGGTCCAGAGGGGTTTCTAGAGTCACCTGGCCTTTCCTTGCTTTGAGGACACAGCTACATAGACAAAAATGGTGGCCCACATAGAGCTCTCCATCTAGAGAGTATCCGTTTTCCCTGGTACATTTGTCTCAGTGTTGGAGTGTGCATGTGCTGTGTGTGGGAACAGGTTAATAAGCTGTGGTCCTTCACTGCCTATGTGGAATGGTTGATGGTTAAGCAAGTGACTGTAAGGTAGTTTGGTATGTGCCATGGCAGAGGTAGTAGAAAGCTCCACAAGCTCACAGAAGAAGAAGGTGGTTCCAGAGATGAAGCACCTCTCATTGTCTGGGATGCACAGGACTTCTCAGCACAGGTCACCCTGGGGGGTGGGAGAGGAGGGGAGAATGCTGGGAAGGCCAAGCCAAGCATGGGTGGGAGAGGTGAGGAATGAGACTGCCGCAGGCAGCGACAAGAATGCACAGTGGGGAGAAAGGCAATTTCTAGAGGGGCCACACACAGTTAGGATGAGCCACTTAACCCCCGGGCCTTCATTTTTTCACCCATAAAAGAGGGATAATCACATATGCCTTATGAGGCTTACATGAACAGTACCTGTGTCACGTCTGTCATTTTTATTGTTGTCATTAGTAGCTTTCTGTGAACTGGAGGACAGGTTTAGATAGTGAGCTCAGGAGTCTTAGTACCCAGAAAGAAAACCTCACAGCTCAGGGGAGCTGAGGCTCCTGGCATAGGGCCAGAGGGGTTGATCAGTGTGCCTCAGGGAGGTCCTGTGCACTGGCGGTGGTGATGCTGTGATTGTCACTCAGGACACAATTTCTGTCCTGGAAGTGGTCTGTGGCTGTCTAGCCTCCAGATCCCTCACATCTTGTGTCAACACTCAGGATAGGAGCTGTGCTTCTCATCTGATGGGCCACTTAGCTCTAGAATTCCGATGCTGCCGCTGAGCCAGTGAGAGTGCTGCTGAGGGCTATGTGCCCGGGTGCAGGCTGGGGGTCTGGGAGCACAGCGGGAGCCTGCCCCAGTCTGTCTCCCAGCCAGAGTAACACAAAATGTGATTCCTCCTCAGATACGGCCTCACATTGCAACTCTTCGCAAGTATACTTACGGCAAGCACATTCTGGCCAAGCTGGAGAAATACTACATGAAGAACGGCGTCGACTTAGGGCCCATCTGTGGCCCCCCTAATGGTATTATCTGAGGCAGCGTCACCCCTGTCCCCTTATTCCCACTCACCTCATTGGCCCATTGGCAAGTCCAGCCAGCAACCAGAAATGTTCTAGTGTAGACTTAAAATGGGTACCCTGTCCTCTAAGAAAAGGAATCAAATCCACAGTGGAAAAGCCTTTGTAAATTTGTTTAATTTTATTACGCATAACATGTACTAATTATTTTTTTTAATTGACTAATTGCCCTGTTGTTTTACTGGTGTATAGGATACTTGTACATAGGTTACCAGCGTACACGGGAGGCCACATTATTTTGTTCAATGTTGTATCTATATCCCACGTGTGGAAACTTTCAGGGTGGTTGGTTTAACAAAAAAAGTTTAAAAAAAAAGAAAAAAAAAGAAAAAGGTTTTTAAATCACTTGCCTCACCGGCAAGTTTTGCAAATAGCTCTTCTCCACCTCCTCATTTTAGTAAAAAACAAAAACAAACAAAAAAACCTGAGAAGATTGAATTTTAGTTAAATGACCTCAAACTGGCATTTAACGCTGTTTATAAAATATATATATATACATATATATATATAATGAAAATTGTTTAAGAGTTGCTAAAACCTCAGTTTATGACATTAAGTTTATGAACCTTCTAAAAATTGCCTTTTTTGGAGACTATTATGCTGAAGAAAATTACGTAGTCTGTTCTGTGAGGAGGAGATGTGCGCATCCAGGATATTTTTCAAGGGTGGGCGGGTATATCGGTTTGTCGCCTATGGAATTCTTTTCTGTTAACATTAAAAGGCAAAATCTGATTATTTAGCATGAGAAAAAAAATCCAACTCTGCTTTTGGTCTTGCTTCTATAAATATATAGTGTATACTTGGTGTAGACTTTGCATATATACAAATTTGTAGTATTTTCCTGTTTTGATGTCTAATCTGTATCTATAATGTACCCTAGTAGTCGAACATACTTTTGATTGTACAATTGTACATTTGTATACCTGTAATGTAAATGTGGAGAAGTTTGAATCAACATAAACACGTTTTTGGTAAGAAAAGAGAATTAGCCAGCCCTGTGCATTCAGTGTATATTCACACCTTTTATGGTCGTAGCATATAGTGTTGTATATTGTAAATTGTAATTTCAACCAGAAGTAAATTTTTTTCTTTTGAAGGAATAAATGTTCTTTATACAGCATAGTTAACGTTAAAAAAGAAGAAAAAAACACTTGGTTTTATTTGTCACCTAGTCAGTAAGTAGCAAGGTCCTTTCTAAATGTTCTTCAAGATGATTCAGTTCACATTAGTGTTTTTTTAAATCCTAAAGTAATGTTTTACTTATTTTGTGACAGTCGAAAGGACGTGCAAAGTTCAGCCCTGCCCTAGCCTTCCTTACAATCAGAGTCCCTCTCCCTTGTAAAGTGTGAATTGCCCTTTTTGTACAGAAGATGAATTGTATTTTGCATTTTGTCTACTTGTAAGTGAATGTAACATACTGTCAATTTTCCTTGTTTGAATATAGAATTGTAACACTACACGGTGTACATTTCCAGAGCCTTGTGTATATTTCCAATGAACTTTTTTGCAAGCACACTTGTAACCATATGTGTATAATTAACAAACCTGTGTATGCTTATGCCTGGGCAACTATTTTTTGTAACTCTTGTGTAGATTGTCTCTAAACAATGTGTGATCTTTATTTTGAAAAATACAGAACTTTGGAATCTGAGTTTGTGCTTTATTTTAAACCTTCCCCCAACCTGCACTAATGCCAGGATAGCCCTTTCTTTGTTGTTTGTGCTTCTTTCCTCCTGCTTGTTTTGTGGGGGTATGGGGGGGACTTGGAATAGGGCTGGGGTGTCAAACTGATGGCTCTTTAGCCCAGTTTGCCCCTAGGATGCTGGGTTTAGCCTGCTCAGTGCTTTAAAAATCAAGACATTCCACATTAATCCAAATTTCTAAGTTCTATTGAAAAATCAGAATATTCACCTCTCTGGGCCAAGTCTGCATGCTAGTCACTGGAGCATCCTCAGAAGGCCCTGCAGTTGACTTGTTCTCTGCTGGTGATCTTCACTGGCCTTTCTAGCCTCTGTAGCATTTGTGAGCCAGGAGCTAAATAGAACCCAGTTAATTACAAATGCCTCCCAACTGAGTAAAGTGTTGGCTGTTGGGTCTCCCCCCTACCGGGCCCCTTTCCTCTCCTCTCTGGGCTGCGTCATCCTGCTGCTCACAGGTGCCCACACGCCGTGGCCGGCTCAGGTGGACCTGATAGCCTAGCTTGCTCATCTTACCTCATATTGGGGACCTCCTCCACCCTAGTACAGGGTCGCTTGCTCACTCAGGTGCCTGTCACCTATGCCTGAGGATGACCATCTTCCGTCACCACCTTTGCTCCAGAAGCAGTTTTGGCAAAACCTGCCACTGAAACTTTGGTCAGTGGTAGTAGCTACAGCCTGAGCTCAGCCCAGGAGGCCTGCCGGGAGCCCACACCACCTCCTGTCTGGAAGTGCAGCCACAGGCTGGCTGCAGAAAGAACTTTGCCCAGTACCTTCCGAGGTTATGAGACATCCACTAACAAGCCCTGCAGGCACCGTGGTCCAGGGAACAAAGGGAGATGGGGAGAGAATGCAGGTTTCCAGTCTAGAACAGATTGTGCCCTTGTGGCAGTGACCAGGTCCTTCCCCAGCGTTCTCCCAGCGCAGCTGTCATCGTGGGCTCCCCAGAGGCAGGCAGCATGCTGAGGGTGCTGCCAGCTGCCACAGCCAGTGCAGTTCTGAACATGGCAGCTCTGGACCCAGATAGACTGGGTTCAGGTGTGGCTCCCACCACTCACTGAGTGTGCTTGGGGTCCTCTCACCTCATCTTTATCAGATTCCTCGCTGAAGGTTGAAGGTGATACAACATGTATGTAGAGCTGTAGTAACAGAATTGTTAATGAACATACGCTAACAGCCTGGGACATGCTAGCCACTCACAGGTTGGTTTTCTTCTTACCTGGATTATTTATACTTCTCTTCCCCCGTCTGCCTCCTTTTACTCTTGAGCATTTACTGAAATGTTTTATGTTTGTATTTTTCAGTGGTAGAACTCAATACTGGCTTAGAAATGTCATCACCCTACTCTTGCCTTTGTTTCAAGCCCATGTCGTTGAGGCCTCAGGATGCTTTAATCCCAATTGCCTTTAATTGCCTGGATCATCTCCTCTCAGGCCAAGTTTCCTTCTCTGTGAAATGAGGGCAGCAGTAGCACCTAGTTGTGAGGACTGAATGCAATTCCGTAGCTTAGCCCAGTCCCCGGCACATTGGTCTAGTAAACGAATGGGACCTACCATCTCTCACTGTTACCATCACTCATCCGATGTCTGCACAGGTTTTGGTGGACAGAACAATTCTTGCCCATCACTTGAAAAAGTTAACATGAAGTCATTTATTGTGAACCAACTCTATGCCAGACACCGAAGAGATGATTTTTATATGTCCTCTCATTCCTTTCAGGTCCTGCGAGGAATGTGGTCACCCCGAACTCAGATATGGAAACAGGTTCTGGGGTCTGAGGCAGTTTCTAGATTAGACCAGTTCTGAGCCTGAGGCTTTCCCCCTTGGCTATCAGAGCAGTGGGGGCCAGGGCAGACCCCTGCCTCTGCAGGATTGAGTTGCAGTCCTGAGCCGAGTGCCCACTTCATCTGACAGTACCCACTGCTGCCAACTCTGCCCAAGGATGGTTGCTGGTGTCCTGGCTGCCATCAACTAGGCAACCTGCATTCTTCCAGAGTTCCTCCAACATGGCTTCCTCCCACAGTTTATATGATCATCCTTTACCTGTTCGCAGTGCTTAACTGTTTACAGAGCCCACTCATTTCTGATTCCTTTGGTCCTCATGAAAGCCTCAGGGAGTGAGAGAGGGTAGATGTTACCAGCCCATTATACAGATGAGGGGTTTAAGACTCAGGCCATAAAATGATTCAGTAAGCAGGGATTTTATCTGAAGTTTGCCATCTTGCTCTTGTCTCCTTTCGTCAGCCCCAGGAATAAGCTGTCTTCTCTTTTTTCAAGGCTGAGCTGGGTTTTGGAACGGCAAGGCACTGGGGCGAAGCGTTTCACAGGAGGAAACTTGGGACTTCATGTAGTTGCCAGTTGTAGCCACACGAGGGTGCCGCTGCCCTAAGAAACCATTATAAAGTTCTAGGGGCTCAAGGCTCCAAGGTCAAGGTTGGGATGGCTTTTCCCCAGCTTAAAGGGCTTGAGTGGCCTGGAGACTGGAGGTCTGGCATATGTTCTGACTTCCCCACTTCTTGCCTCCCTCCCCAGCTTCTAAGCATAGAGCTAGTCCCTCAGTCCAGCTTGGGAAGGCAGGATATGGTCATGGATCTGGCTCACAGGCTACTGCTGTCAAATCACTGACCTTTGGGCTTCGGTTTCTCCAGCCGTCACAGGGTGGAAGCCCAGCCTGGCTACCCTTACAGGGCTGGTATGAATCAGATGGTTGGGGCGGAGAAAGCAGCGCCGTGCCACTGTTAATGACCCAAGCCTCTGGTGCCTCTTTCTGGGGCCACATCCCTGGCTTTTCCACCAAGCTTTCAGACAACTAAAATCCACAAGTCTTTTTATGACCAATAAATAGCTGCCTAGCTTCAAATCCTAGTGCCACCAGTCTAATGTGAACTTTTTAAGTCATTTGCCCTTTTATTCCCCCATTTCCTCATCTGGGAAATGGGGATAATGATAGTCCTTCATAGGGTACATGAGAAACATTGGCACATTAGTAAGCCATAAATAGGAGTTGTTACTATTATTATTACCTCTGCTGCTGATTTGTCCCTGCTGTGTTGGGGCTCTTGGACTTTTCACTAGGGTGATTATTTAATTTGGCCTCCCAAACCAGGACACTTTAAAGCATAAAAGCAGATGCACTGAATTATTATAGCACATGGCCACCAGCCTCCAGGGCGGCCTCCTCCTGGTGTTCTCACCCTCCCCACCTTGAATAGGGCTGCCTAGAAACACTAGGCTACTGTGGGAAGGGTGGGGTGTGACTTCCGAGGCCAGGCCCCACGGGACATTGCGGCTCAAGCTGGCTCTCTGGGCTCTCTCACTCACTTTCTGGGACACTCAGTGAGGTCCCCACAGTAAGGAATTGAGGTCTCTGCTGTAGCTAGTGTTGAATTGCCGTCTCGTAAGGCTGCAGCTTCACGAGAGATCCCAAACCAGACCAGCTCAGCTGCTCTGGAACCCCTGGCCCACAGAAACGGTCCTCATGGTTTTAAGCTGCTGTGTTTGGGGGTAATTTGTTGTACAGCGATGGATGACTGATACACAGTGCAAAGACTAGTGGAACCCAGGGCTGTCCCAGGCAAAGCAGAAGGCCCATTGCCCATTTCTCCCCAAGGCACATGCTGCCCCGGTCTGTCCTGGCCTTGGAGAGCCTGTTTCTGCCCCCGCCACCCCACCCCCATGAGCTGGCCCTTGGCAGGACTCCAGGCAATTTCCCGGTGCATCTCAGAGCCCAGGGTGGAGACATGTCTCTGGGTGGGGCTGGACCAGGGACTCCTGGAGGCTGTAGTTGTCCTGTTCCAGAGGTGGCTCAGCCTCTCTCAGTCCCAGTAGAGGGTCCCCAGGCCCACCCACCTCAGGCCTGGAGTGTGTCAAGCAGCAAATGACTGGAAACAGTGGCCAGTTGAGCTGTGGGTCCCACCCTGAGCTGGACTCTGCCCTGTGTTACCTTGTTTCCAGACCTCAAACCCTGGGAGGGGCTAACAGTTACACACTGTAACTTCATAAGAAATTGGCCCAGGTCACCCGCCAGGCAATGGCAGACCCAGATTTTGACCCCAGAGTCCCCCATGCCTCTTCTTAGGGCCCACGCTGCCAGACCCTCCCTGCTCCAGCCCTCTGCAGAGCCTTGTTCCCAGGGCCACCTGCTGGGTGCTGGGAATTAAGTTTGACCATGAGATCTGATTCATTTACAGATGAGGAGACTGAGGCCCAGGACAAGGGAAGTGACTGGCTCAGGGCCACAGAGATGGTAGGGGACAGAGCTGGGACCCACTCCACAGGAATGAAGGTACTTGGTCACTGCCCACCTCTTATCCTGGGATGCCAGCTCCCCCAGCGCCCTTAGCCGGGACTCTGTAACTAGAGGGTGAAGTCTGAGTGTTGGTCTCTGAATCTCAAAAACAAACAAAAACACAAGACACATCAAGTGTCTCATTGACAGTCGTGCTTGCTCGGATTATGAGGCCTTGGGGATGGGGGACCGGCGTGGGGGGAATCTGCTGGCCCCCTCAGTCCTCCTTTTCATGCCGGGGCCCTAGCCTGCTTCCTGTTTTCCCTTCTTGGGTGTCACCAGCTGGGCTGCTCTAGCCCCAGGATGAGATGAGAAAGAAAAAATATTTTTAGAGAGCCTTTTTTTCTTCTTCTAGGAAAATGACTCCAAATGTGCAATTATTCCCAGGGATGGGGTGTGTGAGTGGAGTGGCGTCTGGAATGGCAGGGCCCTGCTCCCACCCCCTCTGCTCTCGCCTCTCCCTCCACCTCCCTGCAGCCCCTTCTCCTCCCTCCCTCTCCTCCCAGATCCCAGGCCTGGGCTTCCCGGCCCCCATGCCCTCACACTGCCATTTCCTCGCCCTGACCTCGGACCCGTAAGTGTGGGAGGCCCACGGCAGGGCTTGACTGAGGGTCTTGGTTGTGTGACAGGTGGACCCCAAACAACAGGGCATGGTCTAGGAGAAGGGGGTGGTGAGACAAACCCCCAGAGCAGGGAGGGAAGGAGTCTGCGGTTCTACCACAGGTGGGCTGTGTGGCCTTGGGCCAGTCACTCCCTCCTTTCAGGGCTCAAGTCTTCTCATTTGTGAAATGGGCAGATGAAGTGAGTTGAGTGAGGAGAGCAGCACAAAGCCCTACGTGCTCTGTCCGTTCTAGGTTATGGTCAGCAAGCCCTAGAATGTTCTCAGCCTCATCCATACACCTGACATCCAAAGCCTGGAGCTGGGGCACAAGACCTCAGAGGCCCTCCCCCTGGGCAGGGCACCACTCCAGAGTGCTCACTCTCCAGTGCCTGCCTGACAGCAGTCAGGGCAGATGCTGCCACCACCACGAAGCCTTTCTAGATTCCCTCCATGATACCCAGACCCTCAGAGTGGTGTTAACCTCTCCCTGCACAGTCCCCCCACTGACTTTGCTGTACTCAGTTGATGGAATATGTCTGTCTGTGGGCTTCCATTCAGAGGCACACTTACTGTAAAATTAATGAAGATTAAGCTTCGGGGCTCCACCTGCATGGTCCCCTTCCAAAGTCTTGTTCCTAATATTATATTCTTGATCCCTTCAAATTGTATGAACTTCAGACCCCACAGAGCCTGGACCCACCACTACTTTCATTCCTACGCAGCTTGAAGTCCCAGAGCCCTCCTCCCCTCCAACAGTGACCCTTGGCCTCCATCCCCACCTGCTGGCCTGGCACCTGGGCCATACCTGTCCCAGCTGCATCCACGGGCTCTGCTCAGGGCCTCTGTGGCCTTGCCTTTCTCGTCCTGCGAGGCCAGCTCAGGCCCTGCTCTGTGGCTCACAGGCCATCTGGGTCAAGCAGCCTGCCTTCCTCCTGCCTGTCTCACACCTGCCCTCAGGAGTCCCCAGCTTGCAGGCCTAGTAGGGGCCTGGGTTCAAATCCTGACCCCACGCCTGGCAGCTGTGTATCTGTGGGGGTGTCGCTCTCCCACCCCCATCTTGAAAAGACTTACCTAGGACACGGAGGGCTCAGGACGAGCTCCAGCAGGGTCCTGTGAGACCCTCACTCAGCCACAACCCTTGGATAGGCAGAGGCTCCTCACAGATGGAGGCCCCACAGACAGAGCCGAGCCCTCCCACTGCCCGCTGGACCCTTCTGCAGGCCCTGTGGACCCTCCCCACAGCCCAGGAGCCTGCCTGGGAGCCTTCTGCCGCCACCCCGGTCACCCTGTGTCACCCTAGACTCCCTTTGTAGTCTGTGGGTCAGGAGCCCTCTTGCCAGAATCCTGTTTCAGTTCCTAAATTTTGGAGTCACTGACCTCAGGACTGTTGTCACTCAGACTTTCTCAGAAGCAAACCCAGGCTCCAGCCTCCATCCTGAATCCCGGGCAAGACTGAACGTCATTGCGGAGAAGGTGGACGAGCAGGGGAGGGAGCAGGGAGCAGCCAGGGGTGTCCTAGGCACTGGGACTTGTTTTTTGAGACACGTGATTGCCGATGAGCAGGAGGGCCAGCTAGGGTCACAGAGTCCCCCAGTACCCACCGGGGGTGGCACAGTGCGGATCTCCACAAGCATGCCTGCTTCCTGGCTGTGTGACCTGGGCTTGCCACCCAGCTTCTCGGAGCCACTGCCCCGGATGCAAAATGGGACAAAGAGCCAACACAGGCATGGCACTCACACGTGCCAGGCTCCCTTGAAAGGGCTCCCAAGTGTTAGCTCAGCTGCCTCGGGAAGCAAGTGTACATGTTGTACCCAAACCACAGGGCTGTGGGGAGGGGTAATGCGAGTGGGCTGGTGAGGGCTCAGAGCAGCGCCTGGCAGCAGTGAGCCTCTCAGTGCACGGCGGTGCTAGTTCCAAAGAGCCGGTCTGTTTAGCCAAACTTCTGTGGGGCGGGTGTCGTCAGGTAACTTACTGAGCACCTACTCTGTGCCAGGTTCAGAGATGCAACTCTCAAACGAGGAGTCTCAGGCATGGGCCTCAGAGGTGCTGGCCATGGCCTCCTACTTGCCCTCTGCCGCCTTGTTAGAGCCAGGAGGCCCTGCCAAGGGCAGAGAAAGGTCTGACCAGGGTGGGTAGTGAGGCATGGCCCTTAGGTGTGTTTGTTGGATGTGTTTATCTGGGTTCTAGGATCATCTAAGTATGCTTGCCGGTGGGTTGTGCCCATGTGACAGTGTGAATCCCCTCACTGACCCTTTAAGTCATTCATCAAACACTTCCCCGCATACCTTTGGACCTGGCATTACAGAGTTAAGAGCCTGGGTTAGGATCTCAGCTCTCAGTTACCAGCTGTGTGAGCTTGGGCACGTCTTGTAGCTTCTCTGTGCCTCAGTGGGGATAATGTCAGTGTGCATTTTGTAGAGCAGTGCCTGGCATATAGTTAGCTCTGCTTGAGCTCTGTGATTGTTGCCCACTGGAGGTACTGAGGTGCCCCCATTGCTGGGCGACACAGACAGTGGAGGCTGGAAGCAGGGTGGAAGAGCCAGGATGGGGCTTGTCCAGGGTGCTGGGCAGGGGTGGGGCTAGCCCTGCCTGAGAGAGTCAGGAATGCTCCCCAGAGGGGCCACGTGGGCCATGGGAGTTGTGCTCATAGGGAGGTGATGGCAGGCGAAGGGAGACACTGAGGTGCTTGTTGGTTGTGTCTGTGTGACAGTGTGACATGGCTTGAAGGCAAAGGCAGGCCTGGGGGAGGGCGACCGTTTGCATGCACCATGTGATGGACGGTAGATGAATGTGTGCTTTATGAACCCCAAGGCGAGCCAGAGCGGGGTGTGCGGGTGAGGCGAGGGCTGAGACCCTCAGGGGCCCAGAACCGGCTCAGGTCTGACTGTGCCTAGTATCTTTGAGGAGCAGCAGGGGGCGCTCCTGGCCTGCCCGGCCCGAAGATCCTCCCCCCACCCCTCCTCTTCCGATGGCAGAAGAGGGGCTCCTGCTGCTTCTAGAAGTCTCAGTACTGGCAGGAGGAACCTGAAGATGAGCCATGCTCACTGCCCACCCTCTGCAAAGGGACTGCCGTCCTAATGGCCTCCCTGTAAGTTAATGTTCTGAGCCTTCCATACCTCACAATCTCTCGGAGGGCCCACTGCCGTCTGTGCACAGGCATTCCTCCCACGGAGCTGGCATAGGGCTTGTCACAGTCCCCAGCCTGATGTTGGCCCTTACCCTGCCCGCTAGAAGCTCCTCAAAAACAGTCTGTTCCCTGGGCCTGTGGCTGCCCCTCTGGGAGATGAGGATCCCTACATCCGGATCCCTCAGTTTATAAGCATCATTCCAGCTGCCTTTGATGAGCCCCCAGTCCAAGGGCAGGGAAGAGCTCATTCAGTCACAGCCCAACACCTGGTCCTGGCACACACAGGCACTCAGTTCATATTGGGAGAAGGAACAAATGAATGAATGAACCTCATGTGGTCATTATTTCCACATTACACTTGGGAAAGTGAGGCTCAGAGAGGTAAAGTTGTTCATCCAGTGTCACACAGCTCCTAACTGGCAGGACTGGGATTTGAACACAGGGATTTGCCTAACTCACAGCAGAGCTCTTCAATCAGAGTTGTGCTGCTTCAACTAGAACCAGCTTCCCAGTTACTAGGCCCCATCAGCCCCTCTCCACCCATTTCCTGAAGGTGCCTATGGATCAGAATTCCAAAAGATTTGGGAATGGGCTTTCCAGGGGCTGCGACCTCAAAATTCCTAGGGATTTTTGAATTTCAGAGTTAGAAAGTTTCCCTCTCCTCCTCTCCAGGGTCTCTACCAATGGGCAGCTAGACTGGTCTTAAATATCCTTTAGGGACAGGGCTCTCATTCCAGCTCGGGGCACACCTTCTAATTACGCTTCACCCTATGTTGAGCTAATGTTTGTCCTCTTGGCCTCCTCCCAAAGGCCCTGAAAGGACAGGCGTGGGTCCCCTTGACACCCCAAAATCATGGCTAGTGTTCCAGCATCTGTTCCCCAGGGCCCACTCAGCCCTCTCCCCTACTGGCTCTCTTTGTCCTGGTTTCAGTTCCATTTTTCTTGGGGAACTGTCCCAATTTTAGCTCAGTTCAGTTCCTATTTCCTGATGGCCGGCCCTGCACTGGGTGGGAAGCCCCAGGCCCACTTCCAGCCTGCCATAGTCAGCAGATAACTTCCCCTTTCTGGACCTCAGCGCTCCCTCTGGGTGGTGGTGATACTGACCGCATCATTTCATGGGACTGCTGAGGGGTGAAGGAGATCACCCCCTAAGGCACTTGGCACCAAGCCAGACACGTGGTCAGGGCTTAATCAATATGTGTCTCCTTTCCCCCCAAAACACCCCTGGGTGGGGATGAACTCAGGTGAATGGGAAACTCATTCATCAACAAATTTGTATTCAGCACCCACTACGTGCCAGGCCTTGGGCTAGTCTTGGGGACACAGCAGTGACCCAGAGGACCCAGTCTCCTGCCCTCCTGGACTCATGTGCTGTTGGTGGAAGAGTCCAGTGATAAATGGTCAAGTGCCTAGTATGTCAGATGGGGATGAAGGCTGTAGAGACGCGTGCAGGGAGCACGCAGGGGATAAACACCACCAGGGCAAGCCACTGCCTGGGGGACACACTTGTCGCAGCACCTGCTCTGAAGGGGCAGCGGGCACTATTCTGAGCTCAGAAGTCTGAGTCTCAGGGCTGGGGCCACCTGCCTGAGGCCATGAGCTTGTGGGGAATCAGCACAACCCCAGTCCGCCCGGCTCTTCCTCTGTAAATCCAGTGACTGCGCCCCAAAAGCCAACGCCCCTCACGTGGGGAGGGGAGACTGAGGCCCAGGGAGGGCCACGCCTGGCTGGTGTCCTGGAGACGTCAGAGCCCCTGGGGTTGGAGGACCTCTGGCCCCCTCCATGGGCCGGTGGGTGATGGGGTCCGGAGGAGCCCCGTGAAAGGCGCCCTCAGCGGGGGCAGCTAACAATCCCCCAGGCCCGCAAATGAGCCAGCGCGTCCCCGCTTTCCCACGCGGGGCTTCCCGTCCGGCCCTCAGGACAGCGGAGGCGGCGCGTTCTGGGGGATCCCCGATCTCCGGACCGGGGCTCAGCGACGCAGGCAACGAGCCCCAGGTCGCACAGCAGCCCGCCGAGCGCCGCCGTCCCTGCTGCCCCCGGGGGGCCCCGGCGGGCGGCGCGGGGCGGGGCGGGGCGGGGGCGGCCTTTGGGGGGCGCGCTCCGGCCGCCCCGCCCCCGCGCCCCTCCTTCCGCTCCGCCCGCGCTGGGGGCGGCCGGGCGTCGGCGGCGCACGCTTCCTGCGGGCGCGGCTGCTGTGGGCGCGGAGCTGCGAGGCGGAGCCGGGCCGCCGATCCGGGAGCCGCGAGCCGAGAGCGCGTCGGTCCAGCCGCCGGGCCGCGCCGCCGCCGAGCAGCCGCCCCGCGCCGCGCCTCGGGAACAAAGGCGCCCGCCGCCGCCGCCATGAAGCCGGGGCCGCCGCACCGCGCCGGGGCCGCCCACGGGACGGGCGCGGGCGCCCTGCTGCTGCGTCCGCTGCTGCTCCTGCTCCTGGCGGGGCGCGCCGCGGGGGTGAGTGACGCGCGCCGGACCCCGCGCCCGGGCCTCCCCGCCGCGCGCCCCTCCGAGCGCCGCCCGCCGCCGTGCCCCCCGGGGCTCGTCGCCTTCCTGCGGGACACCTCCCCCGAGGGAGGCCGGGGCGGGAGCCGGCTCGCCGCTGCCCCTCCGCACCGGCCCGAGGACCTGCCTGCCCGCCGGCGGCCGAGGCGCGCCGGCCGGGGGTCGCCGTCGCGGGGCCGGGCTGGGTGTGCCTTGGGTCTGGAGTGAACCTGGCTTTGGCTTCGTAGGTGTGCCCAGACCTCGGCCACTTGGAGGGAATGGGGTCGGTTCTCCCTGCTGGGAGCGGGTGTGCGTTTGGTTCCTCCCAGGGTCGCTGTGGTGAGGGCGGTGGGGGCCCAGAGAGGGGGAGGGGTGAGGGTGACTTGGTGAAGGTGACCGTGTGTGTGTGTCCACCTCGGTGAGGGTGCTGGCATCTTGGGGTGTGTATGGGTCAAGAATGGCGGGTGAGGACGGGCCCGCCACATGGATGGGTGCCACCGTACCCTACCTGTGTGTGTGTGCTCGAGTGAGGGTGACCCATTGTGCACGGTGTGCACCAGTGACCAAACTGGGTGACTGTTGGCCACGGCTGTGTGTGCCTGCAGGGGGTGAGAGTGTGTGTGGGGGAGACCTGTGGTGGGCGTGTGCTTGGCCCTGTGGGAGTGTGTATGCACACGGGCTTGTGAGCATGTGCATGCATGTGCATGTGGGGGCATGGGTGACCCTGTGCATGGGGCATGTACCCTGGGGGGTGCCAAGGTGAGTATATGTGCAGGAGGTGACCTATTTGTCCCTTTGTCCCTTTTTTTTTTAAATCTGAGAGTCCCTTTGAGTGACCACAGCAGCCATGGAGTTGAGCTTAGTCCCAGCGTCATTAGGGAGAGCAGGGTACAGGGACCCAGCCCATCCTAGCAGTTGGGTCACCTCTTGCTGGAAGACCATTTTCTGGAAGACCCATTTTGAAATCAAAGACGTGGAAATCACACAACCATGGGTTCAAATCCTGCTACCACCACTGATTCATGGAGTGATCTTGGGCAAGTCGTCTTCCTTCTCTGAACCTGTTTTCCCCTCTGTGAAATGGGCCCAATATCCCACTCAGAGATTCAATGAGAGGAGGCATGTGCTCACGCACATAAGGAGTTCGGTAACTATTTGATGTATAGGTGAATGAAAGGAGGCTCAGGACAAAATGTGTTAGACTTGGAGGCTCAGCAGGAGTCCGGAGCTGTATGACCCTGGGCAGGCCATGTCCCTCGCTGAACAACTGTTCCTTATCCATAAAACAGGCTCTGGTGCACAGTAGGGCCTCAATGAGACAGGGTGCCCTGGATCCGAAGGTGAAGTATACAGTGGGTGTGGTTCTGACCCAATGCCGAGTGGTAGATAAAGCAGTCCCCCCAGAGGTTTGGGCCTAGAGGTGGAAATGGGGAGCTTGACTTAGAGCAGAGGAGGGGTGGGACCCCAGGTGAAGCAGGGGAGTCCCTCTCCAGGGGAGTTCCTCTCCACAGCTACCCAAGGGTCAGGCTGTCGAGGAGGGGCATCATCTGACCCTGGAGGTAAAGGGTTAGTGGGTGGTGTCCAGTTGTCAGGGGTGCCAGAGGAAGAGGGCGATGCCTGCAGCAGGAGGAACTGAGGCTGGACCGGCAGAGCCCCAGCCACGATGGCTCTAGCAGTGGCCTCCATGGTGCTGTTCTCTAGGGACGTTGCTGGGATGGCAGTGGCAAGGAAGGGACAAGATGACCCCTATCTGCCCACTGGCTTGAAAGAAGTGTGTGTGTAAGTGGGGGCGGGCTCCCAAGGTGGCCTCTGTGGACAGGAGGTCTTATTCATGCTGCTGATGTTGAGTTGCGGGTTGGGGGTGCGTGGTGTCTTCTGGCATCCGTTTGGGGAGTTCTCTCTGCTGTAAAGCCAGGTGACTAAGATTTTAAGGGCCCTTCAGGACACTTCAGTCACCACCCAGAGAGGCTTGTAGTGTGGGGATATTGGAAAAATTTTAGCTTGGAAACATGTTCTTTTAGAAGCCCAGGGCTGGAAGGGATTTTAGGTGTTAGTCTTGTTTGAATATTCTCCATGTTGGGAGTTCACTACTTTGTGGCTCTGTGCCCTTGTGAAAGTTATTTAACTTCTCTCTGCCTTTGTTTCTACCTCTAAAACTGGGAGAATTTGAGAATGAAAGGGGTTAACATGTAGAGTTCTTAGCACAGTGCCTGGCATGTTGTAAGCCCTCAATAAATGTTGATTTCTTTTTTTACAAGGTTGCTATTCCCTGCTTGGGAATGCGGCAGGGGTGAGAAGTGGAAGGGTGAGGGACCTTGGAAAGGGAAATCCACCTGGGAATTCTTGTGAAGCCCCTCCCCAGGCCTGGAGGTGCCTGCTCCCTCCCACCCCTACTATATCAAGCATCCAGGAGCTGCTCTGCCTGCTTTTGCTTCTCTGGTTGACTATGAATGCTGGGCTGCCAGGCAAGATTGTTCTTACTATAAAAAGTAAAAGTCAGGGATCCCCGGCTGTTCTAGCCCAGGCCCTGACACAGGGACACCACAGTGGTCTGCCTGTTAGCCCCCAAGGTGTTAAGGTCTTTGGGGACAGGCACTTGGGTGTATGACTTTGGCTAAGGGATTTATTAGTTCAACTTCCTCATCTGTAAAATGGAGACATAAACAGTGCCAGCCTCACAGGTTGTTGTGATAAGAAAATGAACTCCTTGGGTGGACTGAGCACAGTCTGCCATGTAATGAGCTCTCTGGAGATGGGGTCTTTTCAGGAGGGAGCCTGGGGGTGAGGGTCAGGGAGGGCTCCCTGGAGGAGGAGGTTTTGATCTAAGCTGTAGAAGTGGTACCATGTGTCACTGAGCAAACTGTAGCCTGCCTGCCCTGACTCAGATTTCTTACCTGTTAGCTGGGGACAAATACCTGACTTACAGAACTGTTGTTGGGGGTTTGTAACATCCTCAAGGCAGAGCTGGAATCGGACCTGGTGCCTTCTCCCTGGGGAGCCACGCAGTACCTCCAGCTCAGCGTGTTTCTTGTTGCCTTATGTTGGGGGTTGGTGTGGAGTTGAACTCTGTTGGAGAAAAGAGTGGTTTGGCCTTGTGAAAAATGGCTCCTTCCACTTTGTAGACTGAGGTATGGGGCCCCTGGGGGCCCCAGGGCAGCACTGGGTTTGGGCTCTGGAAGCTGCTGGGGCAGCAGTGGGGTAGGTGAGAGGGGTCATGTTGAAGAGGAGAAAGAGGCTGAGACAGAACTCCCCCGAGGAGCCAGGCTGCCACAGGCCTCTGTTCCGACTCTCCCACTGGAGCTGGGCCTTCCCCCAAAGCTGCCTTGGGGAGAGGGATGGGTCATTCTAGAAGGGGCTGCAATAGGATTCTTGAAGACTGGAGAGACTAAGGCGGCTGGGGATGGGAGGTGGTGGTCTCCACCACTTAGCCTGGCAGAGGCTGAGGGCAGGACTTGGGCAGCAGGCTCCACACCTCTGAGGGCTTAATAATAGAACAGCAGCTAATGCTTTCTGAGAGCTCAGCCCACTAGGCACCGTCTGTGGATTGGCTCCTTTAATCCTTATGACAATCTTTGGGGGTAGGGTAGGAATTATTAGAACCTCCATTTTGCAGCTGAGAAACTGAGGCAGAGAGAGGTTAAATAACTTGCCCAAGGTCACACAGGTGGAAGATGGCAGAGCTGGATTGAGCCAGGGCTTGGCAGGCTAATAGAACTGGGCTGTAGTCCTAATTCCACTCCTTCTTGCTGTGTGATTTTGGGCAAGTTGCTTTGCTTCTCTGGGGCCTACCTAACCCAAATTAAGCCCACATTACCTACTGTTTCACAAGCTTGCTTTCTGCTGGACACTGAGCCAGGCATGTCCTGTATCTGTTCTCATTTAAGTCTCACTCTAGCCTTTGGCGGGTGACCTTACCCACGTTGCAGGCGGTGGAAGGGGCTTGCTGGGGGCCTGGCCCAGAGCCCTTGGTCCTCCGCTGCCTCACAAGTCTCTGTCATCTGCAAAATGGAGGTATTCTGAGGGTCACTCGGGATGGATTGAGGGAGAGCTCTGTAAATTGCATGGCTGTCAACAAGACTGAGGGGGCAAGGCTCGTGTCTGGGCACAGGAGAGGGGAAGTATTTAGAACCTCAGGATGAGGGGGTCCAAAAGCCACCATTCTCCTTGGTCTGACTTTAATCCCCTCTGTCCCTTAGAAAGTTGTGTGGAGCCCGAATCTACATCCCTGCCCCCTTCCTCCCATCCTGCTCTGTGTCCTGCGCCCATTGCACCTAAGGTTCTCTCTGGCCTGAGTTGACTGAGGCTCAGAGAGGGAGAGTACTTGGTGGAGGTCACACAGAAGTCAGTAGAAGTGTCAGAATGCTTTCCTGATAGACCATGACATGAGGTCTCTAGGGCCGCCTCTGTGGCTGCCTTGTTCTTTGTTGAACCCTTCAGGCCAACTTTGTGCCTGGCCCAGAATTGAATGGCTTGAACGAATGAACAAAACGAATGAATGAAGGCAGGAGGGAAGCCAGGACTGTAAAGCTTTGGAGCCCAGGCTGGGACATTGTGTTCTGTCTTGTGGAGGTGGGTTGGAGTTGGGGGGGACAGGGAGACTGGCAGAGTCCTGCTGGGTGAAGACGTGTGCCTGTGGGCTGGGAGGCGCTGGGGGGCCTCATGGGGTGGGCCTGTGGTCTGAGTGCCAAGGTGTGGCCACCATGTCTGGGTGGGACAGAGGCATTGTGGCTTTGGGCTCCTGCCCAGCTGCCTGGAGCCCTGTGATTTTGCATCTGATGGGGCAGGGCAGCAGGAGCCAGGAGCTGTCCTTGGGCTCAGCCTCTTGTTCCCCTGTGCCCCCAGTCTAGTAGGGGCTAGGCTGGTTCCGAACTACCTGGCTTGTCTTGCTGTCCTCTTAACATTCTGCTACATCCTGGGAACATCAGGCCAGGGCCTGGTAAATGTCTGTTGACTGATCACCCCTTGTCTTGGCT